ATAATAGAATGTCTCTTGACTTTTTATCTTTTATTTTTTGCTATCATCATTGGTGGAATTAATTTATAATAGCCACGTAATATAGCTTATTTTTATTAGACAGTGCACAGATGATGTAGTGCATTGAATACGTACAAAAATTTCCCTATGTGTAAGACTTATATTTCAAAAATGTAAATGTATCCATATCTAATAGGGAGAATTTTAATAAAAACATCATAATCACATTTATTTAAATTCAAATTCCCAAAATTTTTGAAATTATACTTTAATTTAGGGATACTTATTTGATATTAAATTTTTAAAAAATGACAAAATTACTCTTATTTAAATTAATATCGGAACTTATTTACTTCACTTGTTAACTTACCTATGAAATATTATTAATTGTCCTACTTAATTTGTTTTTATTTAGGTGTTTAAATTATCTCAAGATGACTTGCTAATTCATACCATGTATGTTGTTCATTTACTTATAAATTGTTATTTATTCTTCATTCATTTACTTATGAATTATTATTTATTTTTTATTTAAACTAATATCAGAATTGTCATACTTCACCTATTAATTGCTTTATTTTACTTATTTATTTACTTATTAAATGTTATCAATTACCTTACTTTACTTGATTTCATTACAACAAAATGAACAAGTGAAGTAAAACAATTAACAATATTTAATAAGTAAATAAATAAGTAAAATAGAGCAATTAACAAGTGATATAGGACAGTTTTAATATTAATTTAAATAAAAAATAATTTAGTCATTTTTTTAAAATTTAGCATTAAATTAGTACTCCTAGACTGTAGTAAAATTTTATAAGTCTAAAAGTTTTGAATTTAAATAAGTATGATCAAGTGATCTTTGTTGAAATTCTTCCTATTTAATACACATTCAATATGATACATGCATGTCCTGCATTTCATGATACGGGCCACATAATTTAATACTTGTACTTCGATTCTCTTTCAACCAAAAAAAAAAAAAACTATATTAGTTAAAAACGTTTCAAAAACTTAATATTTTGATTGATTTTTATTGTTACAAATATTCTTGCATTATTTTAACAAGAGTTAAAGGATATTTTTATCTTTCAACTATTCTCTTAAGGATGCTTGATGTTCTAAACTTATGCATGATGCAATTTTTCCTTCCAACATTTAAAAATAATACATTGAGCACTTTATTGTTAAAAAGCTACCTTTATCATTAATTGACTTAAAAATTATAAAAATTATCAAAAATTATATAAAATGATCCAAAAAAATCATATAAACACCAAAAATAATTTTTTATCTATAAATTTTCAGATCTTTTTTTTTTGGTTGTAATTAAGTCAACTAACGGTTAAAGCTGATGCAGCTGAAACTTGACCAACAGATCGAGGAAGGCACTGGTGTGGGAAGTGAAACTAATAATTTTAAATTCTATTAAGAAGAATAGAGGACAACTAAAGATAATAAGTTATTGACTGAAATAACTTAATTAACAACATTCCTTAAAACTTAATAAATGATAAAGCATAATGATACTATGCAATCTAGATAATTGATCCTATCTAATGAGATAAATCTTCTAGTTGTTGTTGTAGTATATTGTGTCATGAAATTATGTTGCTGACACATTGAATTTAAGATTCGAAATTTCCTACTGAATTTGCAATGCTTATAATGGCAATGAAGCGGGCGAACTAGTAGGAGATTCACCAAGCAATTGCAATCTTATTTGAGTCCACCCTTTAACTTTCCAGAAAATTTCAGAATTATTCAATAGTAGGATGTCTAACACACTGTTTTTTAAAGATGAAGGAAAAAGTTGTATCATGTATACATTAAATGCTCTTGAGCGAATAATTAAAAAATATATATCGTTTAATCCTTTTTAAAATGCTTGATTAAAACTCAAGACACCGATATCTATATTCTAAGACGTAGAAATATTACACACACACACACACATTCATATAGATGTATCTTAAATTTTTGAAAATTGAAATATTCACTGTATCATGTGTTATTATATCCGTAACACATGTCGTACTTAATTCTTTGGATATACTTACTCACTTATGATTCAATTGACTAATAATCAAGTAACAGGCAAATATTTTCCCCTCTCCCTCTCCCTCTCTCTTTTTAAAAAAGTAAATCTAGGGGGAATTATGAAAATAAAAGGAAATACAGAATAAACAAAACTTTGACTATCTCAGCGCCATATTCAAGATCAATACTAATATAAGATATAAAGTACACGGAAAGTTTGGGGACAAAATGCTGCTCATTAAATTTAAATCTACGCCCACCCCAGTTTCAAAGGGGCCGTGATTATTCATAAAACATAACTTAAATTTTCTGATTACAATCAACACCTGGACGGATCCCGAAGTTAAAAATGGGGACCAAGAGTAAACATCGCAAAAAAGTGGGGGCCAAAATTAATGTTTACATATTTTATAAATAAAAACTAATATATATATTCAAAGAGAGTTTGTAATATGGAGGCAAGCATGCGCGCGCGCCTATATATATATATACGTATATGGTCTTAATTTCTTTAAATTCGTGCCAGGAAGAGCTGCACTATGAGTTTAAAGCAGCGAGAAAGACGCAGCGGAGCTTAAAACCGTTCATGTTTGCCTGTGTGGGCGAAATGATCTAATTTATTCGAAGTACCGTCGCTTCTGTGAAGAAAAAACTTGATATGCAGAGTACATGGAGGATTCAGATTGGACCGAGTATCCTAAGTGGCGGCTTCTTTTCTGGTGTAATCTGCAGTCCGAGAAGTTGATTTGCACCTGTTCTTTGAGAACCAGAAGCAGCATCCAGTGGCTCTCTGGACACGCGGAGACCCAGCAATGGTGGACGTGGTGGTTCTTTCCCGTTCTTCTTCGACCTTCAGCTTCTGCTTATGCCGCTTGAGCATCACATATGCCTCGGCAAGATCATATCCTGACGATGCCATGGCCGACAGATCATAAGTGGTCCTCAAGATTATCAGAGCCCACGACAGTGGGGAGTGGTCGTTTTTATAGGCTAGGGCCGCTTCCGACTGGGCTTTATTGCGTGGGGATCAAGCAAATTGGGCAACCCCACACTGTGATGGTGTGACCTCCGACCCTTGTTTGTGACGTCCTCGCTTCGCTTGCTGGTAACTTTCTGTTATTGTTGGCTTGGGGACCAAGAATTCTCAAGTGACTATACCATAGAGTATCAATAATGAATAATTTATTGTAATTTAATAATTATTCGTTATTTAATGATGATTTTCATATAGGAAAAGTTGAGAGGAAGGAAATCTCGTGCCAAAAATAATTGGTCGGATCCACCACTCTTCTCCCAAAACTTTGTTTGCACGAGAGAAGACTTTAGGGAGAACTCCACAACTTTGCGCTCATTGATGGTATTCGATAATATATGATTTGGTTTATTTCATGTTATTACATTTTATTTTAAAACTGTGCCTTTTAATTTCTGGATAGAAAAATAAATTTGATTTTAAAATTAAAAAAAATAAGGAAATATATTTCTTGCTGTATAATCTATTTTAAAATATTTTGAAGGTGTTAGTTTATTTTGATAGAGATAGTGACATAAAATGTAATATGTCCTGACATATACTGTTACATTTTTCTTATTTTCTTTTATTTTATTTTCCCATGTTCATCCAATGTAAGGCATGATAATATTATTATCTATTTTTTTCCTTCAATATTTCAGTTTCCGTAATATTAGATGGGTGAAAAAACAAAAAGAAAATAGAAAGAAAAAAATTAGAATAAAAAACTTTTGAAAAATAGTAACGTAAACGTAGGGGTTCGGACAGCAACAACCCAAAATACATGACGATGTAATAAAAAAATATATCATCAGTAATATTCTATTTTTCATCTCGAAGAAATCAAGGGTTAGTTTTGGTATTTAAAAAATCCCCTTGGGTCAAAGGTCACATACTCACTTGTTCTATGTTCTCGTCCGATTGGTCAAAGCTTAAATGAAGTGCCTTTTTTTATGACCAATTAAATGCTGTGCTTTAATGAAATGTTTTGCCACTTCTTGGACGACCCACATTGACCGGGTCTAACTTCTAACCAAAGCAATTCCTGCATAAAATTCGGTATAGAAAGACTACTCCTCGCCTTAATTTTAAGTTCTAAAAAAAAATACACAAATATCCTTCTATTTAAAAATATGAAGTATTTTTTAATAAGTTAGATGAAAAAAATACAAAATATTTTAATATTTTGAGGTATAATCATTATATTTTTTTAAAAAAGTATCTTTATGAATGACTTTATATTTATTGTAAGGTATTTAATAGCAATAAATATGATAAGATTTGATTAATTTAAAAGTAGATAATTATTTTGTTAAAAATGAGATTTAATTAAAAATCTTTTCTAATTTTAAATATTTTATTGATGATAAAATTTAATTAAAAATATTTTATATTTTTAAATTGTAGGAGTACGTAATCTTTAGCTAGCTTGTTGCAGTGAACCTTGATTCAAGGCAGTTCAATTTAAAATTTATTGAACATTCACAACCTGCTGAGATTTGTGTGAAAAGGCGACTAAAATTTATTTACTCAAAAAGGAATTATCAGACTAATGGCGTCCGCCAGACGCATTTTTTTTTTGAAGTTACTTTTTTTTAACTCTCTGAAGTTATATGCTGCAACGATAAAATCATATAAAACGAATTCGAAGAAAACATTTCAACCATAATGAACTGTCTTTCAAATTCTTTTAAATCTTTTAAATTTCACTCATCAACAAAATAATTAATTGCTTTTAAAATAACATTATATTTTTATATTTATTTTTATTTAATAAAATATTTTACTTTAAAATAAATAAGGTGATTTATTTATTATGAACACTTAAAAAAGCATACTAATTATACTTTTAAAATAATAAAAATATCTTATATTTTTTAAGACCTTTTATCTTTCAAAAGATGTACGTGTATTACATTTTGTGAGGAAAAGAGCAGATATTACATTTTGTGAGGAAAAGAGCAGATATTATTGATTTTGGGAATTCAAGTCCCAAACTCCCTTTCAAAAAAGCGGTAAAAAAAACATAGGCTACATGTGAGCAATGATTTGGGGCTCAGAGTAATTTCAATCTAAAGAAATTTTCTCAGCCTCGTTGAAGCTTCCAATATGCTGTCTCTATGACCAAAGGCACTAACTCTAATAAACCCCTCGCCGCCAGGCCCAAATCCTATGCCCGGGACGGTGACTATGTCCGCTCTCTGGAGAATCTTGTTGAACACGTCCCACGAATTTCTCCCCGGAAAATGCACCCACACGTAAGGTGCGTTCTTGCCTCCATACACCTTCAGCCCCAGTGATTCAAAGGTGTCCACCAGAATCTTCGCATTCTCCTTGTAGTAATTCACAGTATTGCCCAGTGCCTGAAAAGCCATTTGATTTTGACACAAACAAAACAGAGTGTCAAGATGACATGTATATACCTGCCAAGAAAACAGGGGAGCAAAGATATACACGGCGCGACTAACCTGAAAACCTTCATCAGAAAGGCAAGCAAGTCCCCCCGCTTGAACAATATTGGATGCACCATTGAAGCTGGTGCACACTAGGCGATTATAATCCTTGATCACGGGATATCCATTGGAATACAATAGTTGTTGGGGGACAACAGTCCAGCCCAGGCGGACCCCCGTGAAACCAGCAAATTTGGAGAACGATGAAATTTCAATTGCTACCTGCACTCACGTGGATTCATCTTAAAATATAGCTCAAACGACAGTTTTCAGTGGCCAGCGGCTGTAAAGTAATTAATGGAAAGCAATCAGCAACCTCTTCGGCTCCTGGGATTTCAAATATTGATCTCGGGCTTTCATCAGATATAAAAGAAGCATAGGCTGAGTCATATATGATTATGGATCCATTTGCTTTCGCAAAATCCACTAGTTGCTTCAGCTGCTGGCGGGTTGCTGCGTTACCGGTCGGATTGTTTGGAGAGCAGAAGAAAATAACATCAGCCCTTGGAGTAGCTGATAAGTCTGGGAAAAAATTATTCTCGGGTCCACATTTCATGTACACTATGTTTCTGTACTTCAGAGTTTCTGCTTGGAATCTGCCTGCTCTTCCAGCAATCACGCTGGAATCCACATACGCCTGTCATGAGCACGTCCATCAATCCCAAAATAGGAAACAACACACACGAATGTTATTTTTGGATCACTCTTGTCAATACAGATTCAAGGGAACCGCCAAAGAATTACCGGAAAAGTTGGGTCCTGCACCGCCATTGTCAAACTGGATGCTAGCAGCATCTGGCAATAGGGATAGCAAAGGTCAGTTTCATCGTGCAAATTACAACAGTAGAAGCTCTCTAGAAAGATTGGGTATTTCTTTCTCTATTCTTCCTAGATCAACGTCGACTCTTACCTGAATGCGTGAAATATCGCACTGGGCGCCGTCGGATATAAAAACCTCATTCTCCTTCACGAGTGAATCCCGGTAAAATCTTTCAGCTATTGCCTTCCTTAAATCCTGAAACGGGAAATGACGTCATATAAACAGGGATTCCTAATGGATCCCTCTGGATGCTGCTAGCATCATGGCCTTTCCATTCAGCTGCCTACACCAGAGATAATCAGGCCAAGTAAACCAAATCAGAGATCTAGTTCCCTTCAAAATGACTCATTAGACTAAAGTTTCGAGCCCTTCTCCATTTGTAAGGCCTCGTTAGATGAAAAAACCCAGTCTCTACAGTAAGGTTAGAGAACATGCAAAACGGCTATTAAGTGGACTGATCACAAGCAGAATTAAAAGAGCATGCATGGTATCTGTCAAAATTGATTGCCAGAAAGTATGCTTCAACTGTAAGTTCGGACGGAGCGCATGCAGGGGTTTGGGAGAATTTCTAAAGTTCTGCTACCCTCTGATATATGAGAAAGTCATACATGAAGAAGAAAGTTAAAAGACAATTTCTTTGGTGAAAAACTTAAAAGACAACCAAGCTAGAAGCATTTTACCCCGTTTCCTTGCTCTGGTCCATACCCCTTGTAACCTTGAACTGTTGACAAAGCAAGTGCTTTCTGCAAAACAGTGAAATCCAAGGCTGCTTAAGGCGTAAAAAGCTTGTTCCATTGATCTCATCGTTATTTGTCCTACTTTCTATGTTAAATTCCTCTACATAGACAGAGGCAACTATGTACTCCCACCAGTTACCTCAACCATAGTAGAAGTTATCATACTTGGAATTGGTTCTGTGGTATCACCAATACCAAGTCTAAGTACTCTCGCATGTGGATTCTTCCTGGCATGTTCAGATTCCCGCATGAATATCTGGAATTAAGACGCCACAGAGAATGAGAAATTGGAGCCGATGGAAATGTTGACTTCAATGAAAAAATAACCACGAGCATCAAATACTAAAAGGCAGCTGGCTTGAAGAAATGCTTTAAGTAGTTGCCATATAAAACTAATTTAATTTTAATCCAACTCCAAGGCATGGTATTCAATTCCAGCCAGGATTTCCGCGTGGTATCATTAGTATAACTACTTTCATTGAAACCAGAAACTGACATGAGCCGGTCAGGCAGGAAAGTTCATAACTCACTGACCTCAGGAAACAGATATTCGTTCTGCAGGTTCTCCATATGAACACTGCGAGGGATTCCTGTAAAGTCTTTGATTGAACGACGTGTCAGTTTGAAAATTTGTAACTAGATCATGATAGCCTTAAAGGAAGATAATTCATGATTAATCGTATCAAACGCATCTTGACAATGTATTGGCCAAAGTTTAGACCAACGAAGACGTCAATACAAATTGAGTTGTAAAAACAAAATTAAAAAGATAAGCAGTAAGTATTAGCGATCACAGGGTTGGGGGACAGCTAAATGTTGAGGAACTACATAAATATAATTTTGGGAATTTCACAGCCGGTGATAACATGACTCACCAGTCTTCCTCTCTCTGAAAGACTTCCAACTGTTAAACACAAAATAGGAAGAAGTAAGTAGAATTGCGGCAATCGTGAAAAGAAATTAGAATGAAAATTGGTTGGAAATAGAATGTGCATATGTGAATGAATCCACCTGGGAAGAGCCGTGGTGGGCTGTGCTGAACCAGCGCGCGGTATGCAGATTGAAGCCATCATCTGACAGGGCGTTCGTCTCAGTTTCCAACACTACTAGTTTCAGATCAGTGGAGAGGAACTAGCTACAAGGGTATCTGAGCGTGAAAATCACAGGACCAACTAGTCTACTTATATAATATTGGGGGTAGAGGAGCATCGCGGCAACCGGCAAAAGACTGAGTTTCTACGAGACAAACCAAACTGGTCCACATGATCCTTGGGCCAATGTTTTTATAAATTTTATAACGACTAAATACGTAAGTGATTCCTTTCTCTGATTGTATTGGTGTTTTGATTGAAAAATAATAATAATTGCTGCATATTATAAATCTTTTTAGAATTTTAAAGAAATATTTAAAATTTAACTTATTTAACACGAATAAACACTCCCGTCTACGCTTATTCGATCCGGTGCAATTAAATAAGGGCAAATTAAATAAACATAGGCATCATGTTCGTCTTTGAGACTGAATGCGCGGCTACTGTTCGTTAACTTTATTAATAATGCATTTATTATATAAGTCATCTGCAGGGTGACGCATACATGTTTCTTAGGAAAACTTGGCGTGGCAAGTCGCAATTGCAAGAATTCTGGCTAGCTGGGGAGGGAAAAAAAAAACAGAGAGAGAGAGAGAGAGGTTCATAATTGCAGGAAAGCGACAAAATGATGTTTTCAAAGGTTTTCCCATGCAATTTCCGGAGGAAAAAAAAATCCAAAGAGAGAGAATTGCATTCACAAACGTTTTTTAAAAACTTTTTTCTAAACATTGTATTATTATTAAAAAAAGTTGTTCTTATCGTTTTGACACTAACAATTTTATATTAATTTTTATTTATAAATAATTTTTTTAAAAAATCCTCGAATATAATTTTTTCAAAAAAATATTTTACTTCTGCCACGCAATTTAATTGTAAGAAAAATGACACTTAAGTTTTATGGAAAAAAATTTATTATTAAAATATTTATAAAATTTATAAAATACTCGCAAATCTTAAATTTTGTGCATTTATAACTTGATAAAGAACATTTATAACTTATATTATAAGTTATTATTTTTCTTTACAAGTTATAAATGACTGTTGTTTGATTATAAATGTCTTTTGTTATATTATAAATATATAGAATTTAAAATTTGAGATTATTTTATAAATTTTATGAGATTTTTTTATAATTAATTTTTTTATTTGGGCAACAGGTGTAATTTTTCCTTCATTATACAAATAAAGTTGACGTGGGATTTTGATTCGTGGGGTCTGGTAATCGTAAATGCAACATCTGGCTCTTCTGTTGTTGAAACTTCACTATCATCACATGTGCTCCAATCTAGTTACGAGAGTTGCGAAGATGATCAGGCCAAAAAAAACAAAAAAACAAAAGAAACGAAAAGGAAACAGAGCTGCGAAAATGAAGGGAAAGTGGCGAACCGTGTGCTCATCATACGTGCCTTCATCGGAGCCTTTTATTTTACTTTAAAACAATCTATGTCGTTTATTTAAATTAATTTTTAAATATTATCTTTATTAATATAAGAATTATAAAAAAATTAATATAAAATTTAGATGGAATGAATGTCATAGAACTTATCTATCACCTTTGACAAGACATCTAAATTTCAAAATTTTTATTTTTATTTTATAATTATTAAAATAAAAAATAAAAATTTTAATGAATATGTTCATTATATACCAATTTGACAGATATAAATATAATTTGAATGATCAAATTGAGAATTAATTTTTTATAATTTTATAAGTTGACTATCTAAATATACATTAAACAGTTTAAATATAATTTAAATAATTTAATTTAATATTAAAACTTTAAAATTTTATAAATTAGCCATTTAGTTATGTTTTGAATAGTTTAAATTTAATATTATTTTTTAATTTTTATATTAATAAAAATGATATTTAAAAATATTTACTACTTTCGTTTAAAAATATAAGGCAGTTTTTAAATAGTTGGATGTTAAAAATATTAAATTTATTAGTCTTTTAAAGTTTAATTATTATTTTTTTAAAATATCTCTATTGATGAATAACTTTATATTTATTGTAGATTATATATTAAAAATAAATATAAAAAGTTAAAATTATTTTAAAAATAAATAATTATTTTATTAAAGAGTGAAATTTAATTAAAAATATTTTATATTTTATACTGAGAGAATGCAAGTTAATTTAAACGAATGATACAGATTAATTTACAGTAAAATGAAAGGCTCGGATAGAATAATGTGTGATGAGCAATGAGACGCTGGAAAGTGGGCACTCACAAAGCTATCCGTAGCAACAAGGAAAAGTCGGTCTAGGTGACCAGGTGGCACCATAACACTGGAATAGTGTGAATGCAGCCATAAACGAAAAACAATGCTCTTGCCTGTACTATTTTTCTGCAATTTTAAATAATTGACTCGAAGACTTGCACCAATCACGAGGACGACTTCCTCGCGAGAATGGGAAGCATACACTTATCAATATGTATGAAGCGTAAAGAGAGTTTAAGAAGTTATCATCTCGTCTCGAATTCTCCCGTATGTATAGCATGACATTGCATGTACAGTTTTAGTTAAAAAAGCAGGAGAAATCAGAAGAAAGCATCTAAAGTAGTGCTTGAATTGCGAAATCAAAAGAAGATCAAATTAAAAAAAGAAAGAAAAGAAAAGAAAAGGGATTTGCGTGATCATGTGAAATTAAATGAGCAGGGCAAAATTTCTACAAAGAAATAAATAAGCAGAGGAGAATCTTTTAGTACAGCGCCTCTGGACCTGAATGGTCAAGTTCTGTGCTCGATTGTAACAGGAAGTAACTTGTGCATGCACGGCGAAGAAAGCAGGAAAATTCTTATTTAATTATTTCTGGTTCTTTGCTAGCTGATTTGTATTTTCCGAAAACTCCCTACAAAATGCAAACACGAAAATTAAACACGCCAAAATGATTTAGATATATTTAATTTCATGTTAAAAACCACTCACATCTGTAGTTTTAGTCAAAGTAGATAGCACTTTCAAATGTAAGTCCAGACATCACTAACACTTTCATCGTCGATCTCTTGATTTGATCAGAAATATGTCGTCCCCCCAGTAATTTTTGACTTCTTTCTGTTTTAATATCATAGGTTTTAGGTAACTACTAAAAAATCATATCCTTTTTTCCATTTTAATAAAAAATAATACGTCAATTTGTTTGTTTACAGAGCTTAAGAATTTGCGCTATCTTGAGTGCGTAATTTTATAGCACACCATTCAGCATTGTTTTTATTTATTTTAAACACATCCACGTATTTGAAATCCTGTTTTATGATAAATCAAGTTATCCATCAAACTATACTTTTTCTATAGGTAGACTTATTTTTTTATTAATGCACATTATTGTTATTTGATAAGCTCACGTAAAAAAGGTTGTATTATTGGGGGAGTAACTCAGTTTGTTAACAACTAAAACATGAATTTAATCCCACTTTAGAACAAAAACATTCTGAAAATTGATTCAAGAACCAAAGGCTCTTCCGTATATAATCTGACACCAATATTATGAAAAGCTTGACACTGATATATTCAAAAATTTAGTAATTGTCTCCAAGTTGCCTTAGTGTTAAATTAAAAACATCAAGGTCAAATCATTTGATAATTACCCTGACTTCTGAAAATATTAGTTTTAAATTACAGCAAAAGTATTTAGTGTCAAAATTTGAGAAATTAATATTAAATTTTGAAATCCGAGGGTCAAATTACATAATTATATTTGGGTTTTTGGTGGATTTTTTAAAAATCTTTTAATTCCAAACTAAAATTAAATCTATCTTCTGGTCCCGTACTGTCCCTTGCCCCTACTGTCATGTTTCATTTCAAGACTGGGGTGGGTACCTTTTTCTTTTCTCCACAAAATGGACACGTTACACGCGTCAGGATGTCGACATTTTCATCCCGTTTTTAGAAATCGACTGGGTCAAACGATGACCCACGGAAATAATTGCCTGGACCAAAAATGCAAGTAGATAATTGGACGGTCCAGAAGTGCAGCAGGAGTGAATAAAGGTCCCCCCATCCACGTGTCCGGTTCTGTTGAGGGCAAAACTATCTAATAAGATAAGTTTAAACGCAATTCAACAATTCAATTTAAAATTAAACACCTAAATATAAAAAATTATTTTTTAAAAAAATTTAATAACTTAAATGTTTAATTCTCATTTCTAGCTTCATTAAACCACTTGAAACTTTGAACAAAATGCAAAAGAATCAAACACACCTGATTACCATAATATATCACATATATTACATTAAGTATACATTTTGACCCTTCAAGTCACATTAAACACTTGTGAACTTATATAAGGCACATCATGTAATCACATACACACATAAACTTGTTCTATTTTTAACCATGTGACTTTTTCATATGAAGCTAAGTCTTAACATATGGTCGAGAATCATATTTTACACTTGATTCATGCAAATGGAGTCAAGCCTCACCATTTGGTTAAGATCTACACATAACATATTTTATCACATCAATTTCATATATAAATTAGTGGAACAAGTCATACAATACAATATAAAATACACTCACTTGATTAGCATCTAGGTCTGCTCACGTATTCACTTCTGTGATACACTTAGCAAGATGCTTACAAAATATACAAGCAAGTTCTTAACAACATAATCACGTATTCACATTTATATATACTTACGCATCATAATTGACAACTCAAATCTTTATCAACATATTTATACATTCATTATACAAAAGTGCTTATACCACTACCTATTGAAGCTACTATTTTCTTGTTTCTTTTCCTCATCTTCTCATGCTCTCTTCAGCTGTGTACAAAGATAATGGAGCGAGACATATATCCTAATAACTCGGACAAACCCCAAATATCAATTAGTAAATAAAATCATGGATAAGAGATAAAGTAGCATCATTCCCATAAAACAATATAGATATGTGTACGCACAAAATCATGCTCAATCAATCCATTATGCTCATGCACTCCTGATTCCTACTAATAGAGCAAGCGCAACACTCGAATCAAGACTTTTAGCCTTACACAAAACAGGGCCTGCAAACTACTATCTCAAACTATGTATCAAAATGGATGGTCTCTTGAGTCCTCGCT